ATAGCTCCTAGTCGATGCAACCACAGCATTACTTAGCACACCACTTCCAAATCTTAAGTCCAAATTTTCATGTGGGTTCCTCGAAATACTTCCGCTGGCACCGAATCAGCCGTATCTCGATATTTATCAGTTCTTCTAGTGTCTTCATTTAATCCGTCTCGTCTGTCTTTTCCTTTACCAAAACGAGACTGAAGAGGTCTTCTACATGAAGTTCACAAAATTTCTGCCACACACGGAACCTTGCTGGCCCGTGGTGGTCAAATTAAAGCTTAATTAGTCAATGTTAATAATTCAACCCTGCAGTGTCCAGGTTATTGACGCAAAAACTACTTTATACTTACAGTTTTAAAATATACAAATATATCTGCTTTTGTTCCTGCAAATAAAAATAATTACCTACTAAGTTGTGAGAGGCAAGTTTTGTGTGACTCGAGATTCACATTCATGAGGTTAATTGGACAAATTTCTGTTTTCTACGAAATTGTTTGGGGAAGTGGTAAGGTAGCAACTTTTATAGATTGAACTTTTTGATAAATGCCGATATTAAATTCTGATTTAATAAAGAGAAGATACACGAATATAAGTACAGAGAAGAAACTGTAATATTACAAATTACAAATTTATGAGGTTATTTATAAGTTGTTTACGTTATACTATTTTTTGGTGACGATAAAATAAGGTGTATTGTAGTAATTCCAAGAAAATTAATATTATAAATAACCTATTGTATATATATTTCGATTGAGTCTAATTAATATCCTTTATATATCGTATCTCAAACGCTTCTAACCTACTTTGTTTTCATCCGTACAGAGGCGTAATCCAAACGAATTCCGATCTAGAAATTAAAAGCTGCTCGAGTAAACAGTATTCTTTTTTTATGTCTACTGCTTTTTCCATTTTGAGTTATCTTATTGTAGATATAGGAAATCGGCGACATTCTTTCTAGTTTTTCATTTCCCGTTAAAAAATTAAGATATTTTATTGTCTCAAGATAAAAAACGAAAAAAAAATGAGAATCACACTACTTACCGATGATTGTTTGAGATTGGACTAAAATTTCCCATTTTTGGCACTTTATCGTTCGAGTGATTAAATTTATGAAACTGGGAAAACTTAACATCACACTTGTTTTCTATAAGAGAATAATCAATTTGATAAAATATGATTGGAAATGAGACCTTAAAATCTCCTTTTATTAAAAAAGCTATTAAGCCATCGTAACTGCTTTAACAGCCCAAGCTTTTATGTCGAATAAAAAACGTTCGTTTTATTTTTATGTTCGTTCACTCTTTTTATTCATAATGGAAAAGTTATCGGTTTGTAACTTAATGCTCGTTAACTGGGCAGTGATTGTCATTGTGATATTTAAATTTAAATGTCACCAGCAAGAGGGATCTTTTATGGACTACGAGTCATTCATTTTCTTGTTTAAATCTTATCTTCGTTTTTCTTTTGAATTAAATCGTTTAACTATTTCCAATTTCGCTTAAAAGAAGAAGAAGATATTGTTATTCCAGCAATCGTTTGGTATTGATAATTTCTAATAACAGGAGAATTAATAGCATAAAACTGTTTAAGGATGTGTGGATGAATATTCTTAAATACGGGGTATTTGTTTTAACGAAATATATAGAAGACGAAAAATTATCTAGAAGTCATCAGTTTAGATATTTATAGTCAGATAAGATGGATTAAAAAAGCGCTAGATATAATAACCTAGGATCAAGTCGCTTTTAACAAAAAGTAATCACTTTTGTCTCCTTGAAAAAAAAATATTTAAAGTGTAAACAAAGGGGTATTAAAAATGCCTTGGATAGAAAAGGTAAGAAATAAGGAGGTATTAGAAAGAGTAGTGATGAGCAAAGCAAGACTAAGGCCAGTCTTGGTATTGGTATTGGTCTTGCTTATTCGGCCTTGAACTTGGTCTTAGTGATATAGTCTTGGTTTTGGTCTTGGCCTTAACGTGTTAAGTCTTGGTCTTGCCCATTTAATCTGATATTTACTTTTTTTTTAATAATTCTAAGCACAAATTTTTCTATTTACCGATACAGTAATTGTATTAAATGAAATATATCCTCATCATTCACCTGTAACACCACATTTCGAACGCTTCTAACATTTCCTTTTCCACTGCTCCCACTGTCCATGTTTCGCACCCGTACAGCGCCGTGCTCTACACATACACCTTTAACAATCTTTTTCGAATTTCTAAATTAACCGTTCGCGAGAATAGAAGTGACTTCGTTTTATTGAAGGCGACTCGACCCTGCGCTATCCTCTGCTTTATATCCCTACTACTCCTTCCTTCCCGACTTATCTGACTTTCTAGATACCTAAAATCGGCCACTTCTTCTAATTTTTCGTCTCCTATCTTCATATTCGCTCTCTCCCTACTTTTCCTTCCCTTGCATACCAGTATTTTTGTTTTATTTTTACTTATTTTCGTACAGTACTGTTTTGTCAATACCGCTTCCATTTTATTTAATCCTTTGCCCCTGTATATCTATCGCTACAGTTTTAATGTCTTTAATGATGTTAATCGCGTCTTCGATGTATAGATGAATTTTTAATTAATAATATAAGCTCATGTTACTGAATATTAATACTAGTTATATGGATCAAAAATATTATGAATTCGGTCAGGCATTTAAAATCTTTGAATATACGACCTTCACTGCTTTCATCAAGTACTATTTTTTATCTAAAAGCGTTTTGCGAGGTAAAATAAATAACCGAAAACTCATTCAATTTTTCATGGTTTAAACACAGCTTGCAATTTTGTATCATTTAAATACGCCAGAAGCTTGTCATAAACTGTATCACGAATTTGAAGTTAAATAACCTGTTTACGTGTGCGGGGTATTAGGTATCGGCAAATACTGACAAGCGGGATATAGTATTTTTATCGAAATGCCTTCGGGTATATTACTTCGATATATGATGCTTTATGTCTGGTTTCTCGATATTAGAATAGCAGCTTACTTTTCCATAAAATTCTTGGTTGCATGAATGCATTATGTACCATTCTCTGTCAAAGTCACTTTTATTTGTTTGAAAAAGGGATGAGCAAGTGAATGTGTAATATCTTCAGCTATGTGTATATATATCTTTTGAACTGAACAACTTCAAAGGTTAGATTGCCCTTACGTGTGGTATCCATCGATCTAACATTGGGTATTTTAATGCGACTAGAGCTTACATACATGCTGTAAATTTAATTAGAAAATGTCGAAATCAATTCAATTTTCGGAAAATGCTGCTATCCTGAATTGGACTGACTTCTATATTTCTATCTATGATTTCTAATCAAAATTATGAAACTTAATTAGAAAGTTGTAGTATTGTACTTGCGGAGGTAGTCATAGCTTTCTCGGATAACAAATTGAGTTTTCTACTGCATAAACTTCGGCGCGTCTTCCGGTTTAACTTTTTAATGTAGTTTTGTGTCCTCTACAATACACTACTGCACGTCTCAAGCTAAGCTCAATTTTAACGTATCATGCATTTTAACTAACTAAAATTAACAACTACATTATGTTTGACTACTATATAAACCGTCGAGTTTTATAATTCATTTTTAGTTTTCCATCTAATCAATAGAAATACTTGTCTAAAATCTGAGATGTAACTTATCGAAGATACAAGTATCTAAAATACAAATACAAGATACAAAATACGTATTTTCATCTTGTATCTATAAAACTTTTTTAAAATTCATTTTGTATCTTGTATTTAAATACCTNGGTCATATAGAAAAAAATTTTTTTTTGATAGAATTTGATTTTATTATTTAATATAGTTCCCTTCGAGGGCGATACAACGATTATAGCAGTCATACAATTTTTCGATACCATTTTTATAATACGACTTGTTTAGCCTTAAAATGGGCTTCAGTTTCGGCGATTACCTCTCCATCGGCGCGAAATTTCTGTCCAGCAAGCATTCTTTTGAGGTCTGAGCACAGAAAAAAGTCGCTGGGGGTCAGATCTGGAGAGTACGTTGGATGCGGAAGCAATTCGAAGCCCAATTCATGGAATTTTGTCATCGATTTCATTGATTTGTGAAACAGCACTTTCTTTTTCAAACAACAAAAGTTCTTTAACTAAAAATGCTGTAACTCAGATAGTAATAGTGCAACAGCTGTCAAATTTATACACGTGTCTTTTGAAGGTTAGGGGTAACTAAAAATCATATAGATTTGATATTAGTAGAGTCAAATATGAGTCAGCCTACAAACCTTTCAGCCCGCCCTTGTATCTTAGTATTTTGTAGATACTATGTTTGTTAAAATACTTTTAGTAATAGATAAATGACTGAAAGAGCTAAAATGCTTATCCTACAATAAAAAATATTCTTCTCATTTGGGAGCAAGATCATGAGGCCTCATCGATGCAAAATGAGCGATAAACTTGTTTTACTTAAGTCTCAATTAAAACTTTAAAAAATATAGTATTATGTTGTGTCACGTTTGTGCGATCAACGCGATTTACATATAAAAAAAGAAACTTTCATAAAAAAAAAATTTTTTACTAAAGTATTTTATCTATAAAAAGTATTCAAAAGATATGTATTTTATATCTAGTGTTTCAGATACCATTCCAGAAAGTTATTTGCACCTGGTATCTGAAATACTTAATTTAGATGTATTTTGCATTTTATATTTCAGATATTTTATTTAAGGTATCTTATACATCACTGTCTAAAAATGTACACCATCTGTAATTCCGTGAATTACATCTTCTTCTTGATCGATACTTTGTGTCATCATGTATCAAAGCACTATTGTCTTGATACTCAAAAATTACAAAATTTTTGGTCCGACAAAAAATTATTTAATATACAATTGTTACAGACGTTATATGTACCTACAAATATAAAATTATGTAAACACAACCGTTTGTTTAGAAACATTATATCAAAAAAAAAATACACGTAAAATAAATCTACATCGATTTGTGAATATGAATTACTGATATGTTTTCTTTTTCATTTCACAGGTTCTAGGAAATTCGGAAACCGTTTCGACGAACAAAGGCTGACCCTCCGCATTCATAGGGGTCGGGGCCACTCAACGCGATATGGCTCATCTCAGAGTTCCACGAGCAACAGCACATTAACCGCGGATAGCGCGTCTCCAAGCCCTTCCTCTCGTGGACGACACGAACGAGTCAAAATAAGCGTGAGCTACCCATCAAGTGACAATCTTTCTTCCCATTCAACGCCCCATCTGCTATCTGTGAGCCCGACGTCTCCTGTTCATTCCATCAATTACACAGTACATTACTCTAACGAAAGGGGCACTTCGGTTACCATGCTTGACCCATCCGAGACGCATTTGAGGGTGAAAACTATGGCTGATAACCATCGCAGGCATTCGACGAAATCGGCTAATTTCGACATAGAACGAGATAGGAGTCCCAGTCCGAGTATTTGTGACGACGGCACTCCCCTCAGGTCAAAAGTAATGTCACGAAAGATGGGAAAAAGGAACATTAAAGCGCAAGTGAAACGGTTTCGTATGGAAACTAAAGCGGCTAAAACTTTAGGGATTATTGTTGGTGGTTTTATATTTTGTTGGCTGCCGTTCTTTACAATGTACCTGGTGCGCGCCTTTTGCCATCACTGTATCCATCCGTTAGTGTTTAGTGTCTTGTTCTGGTTGGGCTACTGCAACAGTGCTATAAATCCGTTGATTTACGCCCTATTTTCTAAAGACTTTCGATTCGCGTTCAAAAGGATCATTTGTAGATGCTTTTGTAAAGGTGGCGGTGAATCTACTTCTAGGAGAGGTTCCGACGGATCTCAGATGCAAACTCGACACTTCCGAACCCCAAGCTATAACAATCGTTATCAAGAAGAGGACATTGATAACAGAAACGGCTATCATAGGTGACGTATGAAGAAACCATCTCTAGCACGTATGTACCTACATAGGAATCCTGCATTTAAGGTTGCGATGCACATTTACGGATAGTAGTTACTGTAATATTGTAAGGGAGGTAAAGTTAAACAATCGAACATAGGAAAATATTTGAAGACAGAAAAATTGCAAGCCTCTTAAACATTTTGGGTAAGTTTAATAAGTAAAATACGTATCTACATTTTCAATCTGTAATTAATTCACTGATGACTAATAAGAAATATCATTAATAAAAGAAGAACACGGTATATGTACTCCCCTTCGAATGCAAATGCTTCGTATCATTATAAGCATGATCAATCCATTCCTTATAAAACTGTAATGAGAAGGAACATAATATACTTCATTTCTTCAAAAAAAAAAAAAACTGAATAATATTGGATAAAAAATATCTGGTTATGTAATTGTGATAGCTCTTAGAATTGTATAAGAGCCCAACTTAGTTATGTCAAAGTTTCCTTTTGAAATAAAATTCTTAATCATGGTCAACTATCTACTTTTTTATCCAATAGCTTTTAGTATTTTTTTAAAATGTGTTTTAAAAACTTGTTACATGCAATAGTGAAGTGATAATGTCCATAGAATGCCCCGTAAATTATTGATGCTGTTTCAACTGCATAAAAGGAATCCCAAGGTTAACCAAAAAATTGAATTTTGTGTTTTATAAAAATCAGATGATTTTCATCAGCGTTACCGGATAAAGTCAACCGTTAAATGCGAACAAGATGTTATTGGTGTTAAAGCTTAGGATGTAAAATAAAGCATCATAGACTCTCCTACAACTCGACCCTTGAAGTTGACCGATTTATTTTTACTAGCGGCCAATTGTCGGTAAAGATCAAAGCAGCTTTTGCGAAATAGTCGGGTAGCTTTTCTTAGCATGTGCAAGCACGTTCATTAAGTTTAGTTTGGAAAATGCGATTAAGCAAAAGGTATAGGGGCCGGCGTTTAAGAGGCAAAAAAAATTCATGAATCTTTGAATGCGAAGTAGCAACTCGAGGCGGGGACAATCGGCCTGCGGGCAGCGTGATAACTGCTCAGCAAGATCGGCAGCGCGGTTACAAATAGTTTCTAATTAAGAGTGGAGAAAAGTGGTGATTTGTATTTCGTTCGAAATGAGTAATCTTGGCCAAGAAAAAACTTTTGAGTGTTTCATTCCCACCAGTCACTAATGCTGGTGGGTGGGCAGTCTCTCCGGAAAGTAGGGCGGAAAGCCCTCTTCAGCCAGAATCGTAGGAATGAGTGGATGGTGGTTCGGGTGAGAAAGATGAGACGGACGAAATGAAGACAGAAGAGAGTGAAAGATTATCTTTGGAATATTACTGCCTCAGCATCTGCCTAAGTGATCCAAGAAAGTCACAGGACCAAGGCAGACGGACTCGGAATCGAACCGGCGTTCTCCCGAAAGCAGTGGTCTAAACCTGTAAGCCATGCCGCCCGGTCCTTTGGCTAAAGTAAGGTTCTGAGCTACGCGCCACTGAACTGCAAATTTGTTTAGTCAGTATCATTGCCATCAACATCAACAATTAGTTCTTCTGTTTATATGTCTATTACTTGCCCATTATCTAACATAACATTGAAATAAATCACGTTAAACTAAATTATTGCGCCTATTTCTTTTTTATATAAACTTTAAATATCTACAGCAAGAAAATCAACCGAATAAGTTAATTTTGTAAACTGATCCCTGCTTTTAAATATTTAATCTACATCCCTGATAGCAATACTGAAGAAGGAGGGCTGCAATTGTTATCACTAAAACTGCCTACTTTTGCCACAGCGCATTCACATAATTTTAAAATTTCCGCCAGCTTAAAGCATCATTCCTGTAACTCCAACGTTGTTGAGAGTATTATCTACCAGTAGACAAATTGCCAACAGTAATTGGGAAAAGGTAGACCAATTACCAACGAATGATTATAACTGAAGCTGTCGCATTAGGTAAGAGTAAGAGGGGACTTTCGAATCCCCATGATAAAGAGCCTGATATGACTCTAGTCAACCTAACGAACAGTTACTATCCACAGACAAAATGAACATCATGAAAAAGGGAGGCAATTTTGGAATAGTGATTAGTGTATTAAGTAATGTATTAGTTTGACGTGCGTAAAACCAGGGGCCCGGGTCCAATTCCCGGCAAGAGAGTGACAACAGCAATAATTTTTCCTCATTAATTTGAGGTTATCTGTAGTGGGTAGATTTAATTCAAAAATTTATCCCAGTAGTTATTGTTGCTATTGCTCTATATATTTATAATCCTACATATAACATCTATAATATCCTCATTTTATTACTTTATTTTAATAGCCTGTTAGCAATCAAATGAATAATGAGGAAGCTTTTCAAGAAAAATCAAACTATATCGATAGGTCGTTCGAATAATGCTGATACATTAATCACCTTCTACGATTAGACGACTGAATCGATCATTGGATGCAGCAACTGATGTGACCAATCACGTAGCAGTATTTACAACTGGCTTTTTAACGCCGCGAGAAGTCAAATACGCAACCGATGAACATAAAACGTTTTTCATATTTGGCACGCGTAATACTGTATTGTACTGAAGGTTTAAGTAAGATCTAATTGGAAATACATTATTTTTTGCTACAATAGGTCAAAAATTAACTTTTTTAATAAAATACAAACATGTAAAATCTACAGAGGAAGCCACTGTGGTGACATAATATAACTGTGGTTTAACAATAAATGTTTTGGAACTTTTACGTTCTTTATTGCAAAAATTGAAAGCTTCGTCGATTCAATAGTGAACTTTAAAATAAAGGTATTCGCGTGCTAGGAGTGGTACCGTTCGAATGAATTTGGCCTACCCTACAACTGAGTAGGATCCTTTAGAAAATGTTTACTTTTAAAAGGAGAGGAACACGTCCTGCTTTTTAAATGTATGTGAANTTTGAGAATGGTATTTATAAATAAAAAATTCCTTTATTTTCCTTTCATTTTCACGGCGCCCACTAAACTAACTAAATTTAGAAAATCTAAAATAATCGAAAAGGGTGAGACTTAGTAACATAAAACGTAAAAAAAATGGATAATGTCAAAATTTTGTACTCTGCATATTGTCAATTATTAATGGGACACCCTATAGTAATCGTGTTTATTTAGTAGGTTTTTTCAGTTTTGTAATTTTTCTTGTTAACGCATCATTATTTTATCATACATTATGAAACCTAAACGTGCAAGAACTGCTTTCCATAATTAATAAAAATAAGAGAAATGCTCGTGTTCAACTTATAATGTATCAACTGTTTAATTTTTCTATGCAGTTTTATTTGCATTTATTCGTGTAAAAATACCTTCGTAAATACACATCGCTATATTGTACTCGTCCTTTCTATGACCTCTGTAAGCTCCTTTGCCTTAAAATATTGTAATACGTCACATTCGGTAGTAATAGTCAGTGGAAACGATATTAGCCGAAGCGGGACATCACATACAGATGTATAAAAATTGCAACAGAGCGAGTTCGTGTTCCTAGGGACGTTGAGCAGAAACTTGTGTAAGTATTATACAAAATTAACCTTTTTTTATCTTCATGGCGAATGTTTGGTAGGTTATATGAAGTGTATATAAAAAAACTATAAGAGTTTAGTTAGGTGACACCACATAAGAGTATTAGTTAGGAGATTAATTAGTATAGGCACCAATCAAACTTGTAAGAAGTATCTTCTAGAAGTATTCAAATATAAATACAAAAACTCATATTTTTTAGAGTATTTAAATACAAATACAAATAAGCACTTGGTTTTGTATAGGTATTTAAATACAAATACGAATATTCTTAAAGTATTTGAAATGCAAATACAAATACTTTTGGATTATATTTAAGTACATATAAAAACGCAAATATGTTAACGTTTTTTTTAATAATTTGCACATAAGTATATATTAAAAAAAATGTGTATATAGGAAAATATATTTGCATTATTTTAATTATTATAGCAACTTTCTGAACGATTTATATATCCTAATTAATATTATAAATGCGAATATGAGTTTGTTTGTTTGCCATCATTTCACACCTTAACTGCTCAACCGATCATGATTAAATTTTGTACACACATTGTCAGGAATATAGAAGGGATATAAGGAAACTTTATTCAGAAGAAAAAACTGTTCACTAGGGATAGAAAAAAATAGTTTTATGTGGCTGTCGATGATCTTTGGCACGTATTTAGGACATTAATGCAAGCATATATTATGTTGAGTTGAATGTATTTGAAAAAGCATTTGCAAAATCAAGAAATAAAAATTTGTATTTAAATACAAGTAATAAATACTTTCATTAAAAAGTATTCCAGATATAATTACAATTACTCTAAAATAATTTTACTTATTTTTCATAGGGTAATGTTTACTACTAACAAGTTTAATTAGCACGAAACACATCCTATATCAGTAGAAAGGCCTTTATTTGGAAAACAATGTAACCGCTTAATAATTTAAAAGTATTAAAAATTTGCAATGTGGGAACAAATTGAAGGTCTCAGACTTTTTTTTAATATTGAATGCAATTTAACTGGAAAGCTAAGTCCTAAACTATAAAATGTCAAGAGAACTCTATTTATTTTTTAACAAATTCATTGTTTGAACCTTTCTACAATATTATGTTTCTAACAAAATACTTAACATTTGCTAGAAGATCCATCATCGTATTTAGCGAGTCAAAATACATAAAAATCATTTCTGATACTTATTCCGTCCAAATATGGTCGTACATCCTACAGAAACCCTATTGGCACATACATTAGTACGATTTTGCTGAACATGTTGGCACTTGCACGCTTTATAATACATATGTGGGTAGTAAAATATTTTACAGTGGTGAAATAACTATACCTTTTTACAAGCTTTTTGCATTGAGTAAGGAAAGTTTGACTATTACCTATCCTAATTAGTTTATTATTAAGATAAAAACGCCAAATAGGTACCTATTTGTACTTTTATTAAAGATAAGGAAAAACAAGCGTATTGCTGTTATTTTTTTCTAATTTTAAAACTGAAAATATTCGGATTATTAATTATCGTGTATATTGCTAATTTCACTTCGTTATTTACTTATTATTTGCTTATTCATTGTTCATAAATAAGAAGTTTTTGAGGTTTGACTTATTATTACTTGTAGAAAAGTATTGGTTGTATTGAAAAAATTTTAAATAAAAGCTGTAAATCATTCAACATCCTTCAATTTGCGCCGTGAAAATTTCAATTTCTTTCAAAAATGGCAGGGTACTTTTTCATTATAAACATTTGGAGTTGAAGCGTCCCCTATGCTTCGTATTTCTAACTTCAAAGGTATCATGAAAACAAAAATTAAAAAAAAGGATTCTCGGACAATAGTCAAGTTCGGATACTTTTTTTTATAAAGTCGTGACTTTATTAATCTTAACATATAAGAAATGAATTCGGCTGCATTCGATAGTCAAAGACTTAAGAGAATCCTACTTGAAAAATGTCTTCCCCTTAAAAAAAAAAAAAACAAGACTAGAGTAAGAAGCATTAGAGGTCTCAGGATAAACAAATTAACTTCTCAGTAAGAAAATGACCGATCGGGTTCTACAAGATTTCATTCGATTTAAAATGTTTTTAAGATATGTTATGTTGGTATTTGCAATAAACATTGTAATTGCAAAAAAGTTACAATTGTCAACCGTTTGTGGTCATTTTTTGCAATAACTGTTCAACGAAATTGAAGTTTTCACAGCTCAAAATGAAAGGTTTTTAACGGGTACTTTGCAAGCAAATAATAAAAAGTTACGAGTCGCATTCGTATAGGGATACCTCTTTTCATCGTCCTTTGTAAGTCCCAAAAATTCCCCGATTAAAGGCCTTTTTTTCCCACTGCCTCAACTATTACACATTCACGTATTCTAATGCTGATGATGTAAGCGTACGACTTTCAGACTTATCGTCACCTTTTTGCGTCGTCCTTTAAAAAATATACACTTAAATTATTTTCCAAACGCGTTTCTTCCTATTTTCTTAGCATATTTGTGTTCTTATTTTCATATTCAATGATAATAAAATAACTGCGTGGATAACATTAATGAATATAAAGTAGGTACTTCAAAGTTCATATGAAAAGGGGGAAATGAGCTAAACTTTTATCATTCTACTCAATAAAGTGTTATTGTCGTTCAACCTTTTATAGGATAAATTCGTGGTTATGCAGCGCATACATTGCCTTTTTAGTACAGTTTTAGTTTCGTTTACATTTCCGTTCATGCATAAATACATTCAAACGGACACAATAGGGCTTCATCATCATCATAAGGTCGTCAGTCCTAAGCAGGGTTGGACACCCACTTCCACTTTTTCCTATACTATCTCTGCATTTCCCTAAAACTAGAACATCCCGCATCCTTAACTATTTGTGAAAAGTAATCTAATCCAGGTCTACCTCTATTCCTTGTACGCCACTCCTGTTTCTGTTTCTAAAATGTCTGACAACTCCTTCATGTCTGAACAGGCGTCCTACCAACCTATCTCGCTTATTTCTTATTGACTTCCATGCAGTCCTCTATTCTCTTATTATTTTTAATACCTCTTTATTTCTAACCTTCTATTTCCACGGTATCTTCATCATTCGAACGTTTTTAACCTTTTCTTTTCCGCCGCGCCCACTGTCCATGTTTCGCACTCGTACAGCGCCGTGCTCCAGACATACGACACAATGCGTTTCAGAAAATACTACAAACTGGGCAGTAAACGCCGTCTGTAGCACGATGATACATTTTAGGATTACGAATACAGACCACTTCGAATTATTTTATACAACACAATTTTTTTTGAATTTTTAAATTAACCATTCGCGAGCACAGAAGTGACTTCTTATTGTTGAAGGCGACTAGACTCTGCGCTATCTTCTGCTTTATATCCCTACTATACCTTCCGTCCTGACTTATCTGACTTGCTTGATACCTAAAACTAGCCACTTCTTCTAATTATTCGTCTCCTCATATTCGCTCTTTTTCTACTTTTTCTTCCCTTCCGTGTCAGTATTTTTGTTTTACTTTTATTTATTTTCATACAATATTATTTTGTCAACACCGCTTCCATTTTATTTAATGCTATCACTAACTCCTCTGATAGTGCTTATAGTGAATTGTGAATTCGTAAAACAAAAAGCGGTGTAGAAATGTTTTTATTCTATTGATCGACTAACTAACGTTCAGTTTATGTATAGTGCATGAGGTAAACGTGTATGAATGACTGGTTCGGCTTAGTGACTCACCCTGTGTATGTAATTCTCAGTTTTTTATTTCGGTACTAGATCGGCGTCTACGTTTTATGTAAAATATCTTTGTTTCTTCAACTTTTTATCATAAAAGTTTCTGTTTATTTGAACTGTCTTAACTTTGTTTTCGGAAACACAGATTAAGTCTCACCCAATTTTTTTTGACATCTACTTATATACATAATAAAGAGGTCCTCAAACCAAACTGTTTTTTTCCTTGTGACTCCCGTAACGAATAAGTAATTCACATCTTACCTGCCTGCCTAAAAAGTCGCGATTCAGTTATTCACAACAATTATTTGATAATTAATATATAAAAAACGATGAGTCGGTGATATTACAAAAACTAATAGCTCCATCTATCACTTACATCTAAACATACTTATCTTAATTTAAATAAAATTATACGAAAGGTAACTTTTTGAGAGGTTTGCTTTTTGTTTTTGGTAATCTGTTATTGTTTTTTATCATAATTTTTGAATAATTTTCTTGTTTTATGTGCGACCTACATTAATCATACAGTTTACCAATTATACTTTAATACTTATGCTGTTGATGCCTTGTACCTGTAAATTGTTATAATCTAATAGGACCTTTTACATTTGATTTTCAGATAAGCGCTTTCTCGGTAGATATTTATCAAAAGCATGCACCCACGAGCTTTTCCGGACGCTTTTCTTATCTTGCCATGTTAATTACATAATTTAAACAACAAAAGCTTCTTGCTTTAGCTAATTGTTTACAGGATCTATGCACTAGAACGGTAAGAAAACTTCTTAATTTTTAATTGCTTTTCGTGCTACCACTGTATAATCTTCGTGTATAAAGTAATCTAAAAGCTCTTTTGCATTTTACATTTTGCTTTCAAATTTTATGCTTTTAATGGATGCAACAATTCAGAGTGATAGTGTATTTATTAAACAATAGAGCCTTCTTTTATTATTAGTATGTATGCATTATCTTTTTAGTTCATTTTAAACGTAATTTCTGAAAATTGCAATGTTAAAAAATACTTTTGTTGATTTTTTAATATTGTTTGTTTCGCCGACAATTTCTTGTGGTATTAGTGATACCTACTGTAAAGGAACTAGAAAATTTAGTTCATAAATGTTAGAAGAACTGTTTAAGATTAGAGACGTTTAAAAGAACTGATGTAAAATGTAACTTCAAAATTTTAATTAAAGTTTCATATATTGACATTTTTGCAATTTTATAATTATAATAATAACAAATAGTGACAAGCGAAAATAATATGGGTCTTGCAGTGTTGTGTTTTAATTGATTTCTACAAATTGTTTAAAACTGGGTTCGAAAAATATGTACATTTTCTAAGATATTTAGGATATGAACCAAGTAAGTTCCTTTCTTTTGTTTATGGTTCCTTACTGCACATGTTTAACACACAGGTTCAATTGTACAAAATTTTGCTATAAGTCATTATTTTAATGCAGTAGCAGTGAAACTGGTGCGGCGCTGTCGCGCGACAAATTCGCAAATATGTTACCGGCCTTATGAGTCACAACATACTACAGAGGTAAAAGCCTGTTTCTGTTGCGTGCAAAAATCATACCGCAAGGAAAAATTCAAATTTCCGGAACTATGCGTCGTATAACGATAATAATCTTTTTTAGTTTGGGTACCTTGCGATTAAAATTACATTGGGTATAGAACTTCTACAGAATTAACCCTAGCCGGCTTATTTCAAATTACAAATATATTTTTGCCATATTGCTTTTTATTGTTTATTTTTTATTTCATCTACATTAAAACAAAATTAACAACAAAAATTTTTAAATATTACAAGAAGCTGTCGAGCATCAGAAAAAAATTGGAGATTGTCAAGGTCAATAGTACGAAGATAACATTGTTTAAAAAATGTGTAGACAGAAGAAAAAATAAAATTGATAAAAAGTAAGATCGTAGAAATAATATAAAATTTAAATAAGTCGCTTGGACCAGTTTTGTGGAAGTAAATACAACGAAAGTCATTTGTTTCACGAGTTATTCCAAATTAAAAAAGAAATTGTCGTCCTGCGATATATAATTCCGGAGATAATGGGATATTTTCCTTGCGGTGCGATTTTGACGCGATTCAAGCAAATATACCGTTCCGCCACAGAGCGGTGCTACCGCTGCTGTCACTTACGTATCCACGCGTTCCATAATTTGAAATGAAAAAGTCAATAATTGAATAAGCTATGATTAAAACAGGGAAAAAGTTACCCTAGCTCCATTGTGACTTAGACAGAGAGTTATTTTTTTTTTAATTCGCAGAAACATCGCAACTTTCAATTGTAACTTTCCAATGATCCCAGTTCTCATCATCAGATCGTTAGACTGGTTGGACACGCACCTACAGCCTTTCCTATCCTGAGTTAATCTTCGCATTTCCCTAAAACTAGAACATCCTGGATCTTTAACTATCTACGTACAGTAATCTAATCTAGGTCTACCTCTACTTCTCTTAACTCCCGTTTCTACCTCTAATATGTCTCTGACTAGACCTTCATGCCTGAGAAGGTGTCCTACTAACCTATCTCGCTTATTTCTTATTGACTTACATAGTGTCCTCTGTTCTCCTATTCTTTCTAATACCTCTTCATTTATAACCTTCTCTATCCACGGTATCCTGATCATTTACCTGTAACACCACATTCCGTACGCTTCTAACCTTTTCTTTTCTGCTGCGCCCACCATCCATGTTTCGCACCCGTACAACGCCGTGCTCCAAACATACACCTTTAACAACCTTTTTCGAATTTCTAAATTAACCGGTCGCGAGAATAGAAGTGCCTTCTTTTTATTGAAGGCGACTCGACTCTGCGCTATCCTCTTCTTATCCTCTTAACTCCTGTTGCTTTAAATCCCTACTACTCATTCCCTCCTGAGCTATCTGACTTTTCCAGATATTTAAAATCAGCCACTTCTTCTAATTTTTCTTTATATTCGTCTTTTCTCTAATTTTTCGTCCCTAGCATACCAGTATTTTTGTTTTACTTTTATTTATTTTCATACAATACTGTTTTGTCAATACCGCTTTCATTTTGTTTAATAACTCCTCCTTACTATATAGTCTGCAAATCTAAGCATAGGTACTAATCCTTTGCCTCTGTATATCTATCCTACAGTTGTACTGTGTAGAATCATGTTGATCGCGTCCTCGATGTATAGATCAAAAAGTAGCGCTGACAGTATGCATCCTTGTCTGACTCATCCCTTCCTATTATTTACTTCTCTACGTTGCTGCTCCAGCCCTATAAATGCCTGTTGCTCTTTATACAAACTAAGTATCACTCTTCTATCTTTGTAACTCATCCCTACATTTTTAAGTATATTTAACATCCTGTCCCATTTAACATGGTCAAAAGCTTTTTCTAAATCTAGAAATCCTATGTACGCACTCTTTCCTTTTTTCTGTCGTTTTCTGTATTGTTTCCCGTATTTCTTATAAACAAATTGATCTTCCCTAATAGTTATTCCGCCCTTTTGTTCATCCTCCTCTGTACAATTCTAGTTAAGATTTTTGACGCATGGGAAGTTAAGCTAATTGTTCTACATCTCTCGCCCTTATCCGCGCCTCTCTTTTTATGAATAGTTACTACCACGTTCCGTTTATAATCCTCTGGGACTTTCCCCGTTTCGTAAATGTAAGTAACTAACTTAAACATACGATCTCTAACGTCTTGTCCTGCATGTTTTAGAATTTCCGCCTTTATCCCATCTATACCGGGCGCGTTATTATTTTTTTTTAAGTTTTTTAATGCTACATCTCAGTTCTAATGACTATTTAAAACAGATTAGTTATTTCATTTGTTTATGACTTGAAATAGAATTAGGTACTTTTCGAACCCTGTTTTAAACTATTCAGTTTAATTAAACTATTCAATTCAAATAAATGAGGTAAATTATATTGAAAATAAATATTTACTTTTTGTTTTAATAGAGAATTAAGTAATTTTATTATTAAATTTCATGTGTTAAACTCACACTTAATTTCTTAAGAATACTGATGAAATAATTCCTTTCATTATTTAATTTTCAGATTCGTTTTTCGTGGTTTTCGATGTATTAGTTTAAAAGTGTGCGGGCGACATTTTTCGCGCGGTAGTGTAGTGATTTTTGAACGAGTAAGGGACAATGAAAATTAAATCGTTGGCAACGTTTAATGAAAAGTACCCATAATGTAGGCGTCATTACTCTCTAGTGGATTGGTTTGGCTGTTACAAATATGCTTAAAAGGTACGCTTTTTACATTTATTTTCTGTAGCACCTCTAACTTTTTTATTTCTCTTTTTAATTTTTCTATTTTGCTCTTGGTACATGAAAATTGCGTTCCACTCTTTTAAATTAAGCGCTGTGCAATTTCGTGTAAAGAACATTTATCAAGCTGATTCAGGTTTTGTTTGCCTTTCAAATAAATTCGATATTTAACTTCATACATTTTAGTCCGGGAGTAAAAGGTTAAATGTCAGTACATAATTCCACAAGTATGAACCTTTACCTGAATATCATAAAAATATGTAGTGCTTTTAAAGTCTACTACGACGTAATTTAATTATTTACAAAATTGGGTTTACGTCTGTTGTGGGAAATCCTACATCTACATCTTCTTTCAATTAATCAATGTTTACTAAGCAATTTGTTCCATTGAATTATGAAAATATAGAAGTTAGGAATAACAACATTGATAGATTGTTAAGTTTATGTTCGATACTTGGTACGTGGTACTTGGAGAAAACTTCTTCGAAGGAGTTTAAGTGCTTACTAAGTGGTATCTCGATGTAGTAATTTTGGAAATTGCTCCTTATAGGCACTCGCCTATATATTTACCTTTAATGGACATAAGACGATATGTTTAATTATGTGATTATATTGCAACAATGGTAATTTGTGTTTGAATATTTGTTCTACCAATTTTATAATTATTACTTGTATGAAGCGGAAGTAATCAAACAATACTTTAATGTATACAGAGTTGTAGGTAATACATTTAAGACGCAAGTAAGGTTGGTATTGAAGAATCCCCCAAATACAGACAGCGTGCGCAAATTCTGTTGTATGCTATTGGCCGTGTTCGATACTGAGATTTTTGTACATCCGTGTTCCATGACAATGTTATTGTGCATGCGCGAGCACATCGCTCATTGGAGAACACGGTCATTACGTAACTTCCGTTGCAATCTGCGGCGCAACTTCCGTTGCATAAACTCTTAACAAACGAATAACTTCAACAATACATACAGTGTATTTTTCGCTGTAATCAGTAAAGTAAATTATGTAGTGCGGGTAACACTGGGAGAGTACATATACCTACGAAAATAGAAACTAATTTATATTACATTGCAACTTTGTTAATGAAAGTAACAAAAATGGACGATTGAAAAATGACAGTTGGTATGTTAAGACGACAAAAAAACTGAATAACTTTACCTCCTAGCTGAAACATAATAAGTATTAGGTAATCTACGTCTGATCTGATGAAACATTTTCGTGTTTTATTAATTTGTATTTAAGGAGAGGGAAACCTGACGACTTACTATAGATTAGTAAACGTTAATGTAAAAGAGAACACATTATTGTAAAACAATCACCACTCGTATGTAAAATGTGTAGGTATCTTAATTTAACATGGTGTCATACATTTTTTACTTGTCAATCATTAACATTTTCCATTGCATACGTTTTCAAAATAAATTTTGTCATTTAGTCCTCAACGTCTTGTGACAAATAATCAAATTAATAACATCGTGGCAGAAATTATAAAACAAAAATGCCTTTACAATAACGTAAAATTTTGGAATAAAATAAATACTACATTATAAATAGTTTTTACAGGCGTACACAAATAAAATATTCTTCGTAATAACTTTTATGAATAATATAACTGCATATAAATAATGCACTAAGTAATCGTAATATAAGTATACCTACATGTTAAAGATACCTAATAATGTATTTTAATGGAATAATGATCCAAAAACAGAAATTGTACATTGCTTTACTGTACAACCATTAGCATAAATGCTAATTTAATTGAAATTCATGCAATGGATTGCAGTATTAACGCAATTGTTGTTTTTATTGGTTGTCAAAAAATAAGGGAACGAAAAATTCTATATCGTACTCAAATAATTTAATTAAATACATAGTTTTATTTGCAAGTCTGCCTATATTACGGTCTACTGATTTTTAATTTTATTAAATAAATACATTGTCATAATCTCGTAATATCACTGGCAAATACATTCTTTATTCGATGCAGGACAAAACTTTTAATAAAACTCAATTTCTCAGAAAGAACTGATTCAGGTTAAAGTATTACCTACAAGGTAATAATTTGTATAAAAAGATATGTAAATATTGATGAAGGTTACCAAAATAAATTGATTTTTCTGTTATTTTTACCTACCTACATTAAATTTCTGTCGAAAGCAAGAAATGTTTTAGCTTTGGCTTTAATTTATTCTTACAGTTAGTTTTAAAGAGATTAAGAAAGACTGTTGTTTTACATTTCAGTTTGTATTTAGATCCTGACGATACTGTGTTTTGTTTTTATGCCATACTCAAAAGAAGAGTACATTTAATACTTAACGTATAAGATTGCCTTAAGTGTAGATATTTAATGGGCTCTTTTTTTGACAATGGTGTATAAACCTAAGCAGTGTCGTCAAGATCGAAACAGATTGTGAAACCTAAACTAAGTGTCTTTCTAAATCTTTTTATTATATTAATGTTTCACCAAGCGATCAACAACCGCCCAATTTCTTATTCATTCAACTAATGCTGCCCTGATTAGGGTCTAAAGGTCGTCATCAGTTGGAATTGCTTCCTAATGTTTCGCTAGCACGAGTGGGGAGTATCTAGTTCACATGTGGTCCATATCCAGCATCGGAGATGGAAAGACCTCTGAAGAAGTTCGCCACTCGTGCTAGCGAAACGTTAGGAATCAATTCCAGCCATAGACGGCCTTTAGACCCGAATCAGGACTGTATCAGCTCACTTATTGACCGTGAAAGTCTTTTCTAGGTTTTTCGTAAAATGTCTTTGTTTCTCCAACATTTTATCTAAATTTCCATTTCTTTGAACTGTCTTAACTTTATTATCGAAAACAAAGATTACATCTTGCGCAATTTCTTTAACATTTACTTATAATAAAGTTCTTCAAACTTTTGCCAGATTTTTTGTGTTTGTTCGTTATTAATACACAAGAAAACAAGAATTGGTGATATAACAGAAACTTTTAGCTCCTTCTGGGCCAACAGCTTTTCATTGTATCTAGGCTATAGATCAAAAGGCGGATGCGATTTCTTTTTCTTTCAAGAACTGATCAGTATAAAGTAAATGAATACCATTTATTACTGAATAAACTTATTTTAATTTAAATAAAATTATAAAGAAGGTAACTTTTTGGGAATTATGTATTTTGTTTTTTGGCAACACCCGCATTTTTGTTTTTCATCATAATTTTTTAATAATTTTCTTGTTTTCTTTGTATCTGACGTACGTTATCCATACAGTTCACCAATAATACGCCTCTTTCATTTACATTATTTCATTATATTTAGTAAGTTTTTGAAGCGATTGATTCACTTATAAGTATCCTGTTCATTTTGTATTTTTCTAAAAAAACGATGTAGTTAAAACGTTTGTACTACGAAGATACTTTTTCATTTTGTTTTCATTTGAAAATATAAGGAAACAAATTAAATCTGACATAAATAGGTGCTGGTTTTTGATGTTCAAATAAATATAAATTAGCGGTAAGAACTGCGTATTTGTTACTTTTACCTATCTGGCATTGCATCCAACCAAATAGTGTTTGACACTACCTTAACTTAATAAAAACGTTATCCATTTGGATGGAAAAATTAAAAACGAGTGAACAAAAACATTATTGATGGACTTTTGTTATAAGCGTTTGTAATATACTTCTGTATGTTCTATTATTGTAACATACGACTTCTTCTATAGGTGATAAATACGTATGTCGATGTCCCTGCAATTATGGCTGTGTTTCGTAGCCAAATTATTTGTTACTAATCTGTTTTGTTACACTTACATTGCCATTACAGATTCTCTTGAATGTTCCTTAACTTGTCATATAGTCATCTATCTTAAGGATTATTGTCAGTAATTGTTAACTAATGTACGTAAATTATAATGTGTACATATTATATATATATATATATACATATATATTTATCTACCTGTAAAAACAAATAGACAGACGCCTCTCTGTAAGATATGTAAATGTTAACTATTAATTATAAGTTCAAATAAACTGTTCATCACTTTAAAAGTATAAAAAGCATAAATACATTATTTATGAGCTAATTTCAATGTTTTTGAGTTATGGTGAAAGTTTACATGAAAAAAAAATTTTTCATAAAGTTCTTGGTCAGAAATTTACTGAAACTAGCAAACGTAGATTGAGATTTCGAACATATTAGATTTCATCAGCACGCCGTAGGCAGCTAACAGTGTGTTTAGCTGTATGAATAATTTAGCCTGAATAACGGTATATTTTGAAAACCAAGTTGTAAATGTACATTGAGACTAATATTAACAAAAATGTTACCGCACCATAGAGAACAACAGTCATTTACAAGAAACCGACGTAGGAAATAGAAATATAAAGAAGAATAAATGGAGAAACAAGGTAAGATAGATACGAGGTGTAAATGTTATGCACTAGGATAAAATCATTTTACCATAACAAAAGCTATACACAAGTTCCGCATACATTTTCACATCCGCTTCTGCATCTGGTTTTGCTTTTTTATAACGGAATCTATACATAGAAGACGCGGTCATTATTAAAGACACTACAACTGTAGGGATAGATATAGAGGGGTAAAAGATTACTTTGCTTACATTTGTAGATGATATAGCAGTATTAGCATCTTACAAAGAGGAATTAGAGATAGCTATAAATAAAATGGAAGCGGTTTTAACAAAACAGTATTGAATGAAAATAAATAAAAGTAAAACAAGAATACTGGTATGCAAAGGAAGAAAAAGTAGGGAAAAAGCGAATATAAAGATAGGAGACGAAAGATTAGAAGTGGCTGATTTCAGGTATCTAGGAAGTCAGATAAGTCAGGAGGCAAGTAGTAGTAGGGATATAAAGCAGAGGATAGCGCAGGGTCGAGTCGCCTCTAATAAAAAGAAGTCACTTCTATGCTCGCGAACGATTAATACAAGCGTTTGAAATGTTGTGTTACTGGCGAATGATGAGGATATCGTCGATAGAGAGAAGGTTAAAAATGAAGAGATATTAGATAGAGTAGGAGAACAGAGGACTCTATGGAAGTCAATAAAAAATAAGCGAGTTAGGTTGGTAGGACACTTTGTAAGACATAGAGATCTAGTCAGAGACATATTAGAGGCAGAAACAAGAGTTAAGAGGAGAAGATGTAGACCTAGGTTAGATTGGGTTGTTCTAGTTTTAGGGAAATGTGAAGATTAACTGAGGTTAGGAAAGAGTGGAGGTACGTGTCCACCCAGTCTTAGGACTGACGACTTTATCATGATGATGATCCGTATTGTTGGATTACGAAGATTGAATGATTGTATTTAGAATTATTTATATGTTTTTAGATAGTAAATATGAAGTTTAAAGTTTTAAGAAAACAACACACTGTCTTTAAAAATGTTTACTAATTAATGCTTTTAAGGCACATATTTACAATTACATTAAACAATTACTCAGTCTTTTATAATTAAGCGACTTTTTCTAATTCTTATACTGGCACATCTTATAATAAATAATAAGTTGCTATAATAAATAATGTATGTTGTGATAGATACATATGTAAAACACCTCAACATATTTTGCATTATCTAGCCAAAAACTGGGCTCCACCTTGCAGTTTTACATATCGTTAGTAATCATCCATTACCTATTATGGAATTATGATCGTTTAGTCATTTTGATCATGATATGCAAACTGTCCTTAAATAGTTCTACCTTCGTACTCCAATTCATACAAATTGCGCTATTATTATTATTTCTCATTCCGTACTGTAGAATCTCCAGTCTTATTTTGCAACGTTATAATTGGCTTTTGATTTTCAACGTCATTCAAAGTGGCAGAGCCACCCAACAGAACTTGTACTTCTTCCATAGTTTTACCCTTCGTTTCGGGTACCACGATAATACAAAACACTGCGCCGAAAAAGCTAATAGCGGAGAAAATTCCAAACGTGATACCTGCTCCAAAGCATTGAACAAGTGTCGAAAATAATTTAGTAACTGCAAAAGCTAAGGTCCAATTGAACGCTGCCGCAATTGAACACGCTCGTCCTTTGAATTCAGGAGTGAAAAGTTCACCAGATATCATCCACGGAATCGGCCCAAAACCAATAGAGAATACTATGATGAAAATAGTCAAACTTATAAGTGGCAGGAAACTGAGGTTTGAAACGTCAGTGATCGTTTTGAGGTAGAAGTAGATTCCCAATGAACAACTGCAAACGGCCATTACTGAACTTGATATGATTAGTAGAATTTTTCGACCAGCTCTATCAACTAGAAGGGTAGACACGTACGTTGCAACCACCTGTAAAATAAAAATAAAAGAAATTAATTTTTGGAAGCATGTTCAATGAAACAATTAATCAGTTAAAGGATCAAATTATTTTTTATTACAGATAATATTATATATAAAAGAAATTATAAATGCTGTCAGCATAGGGCAAAGTAGTATTACGTGATTAGTATGATCAATTTCTTATGCTGAAGTGTACGATGTGTTGCATACCTATTTACAAATAATTCTTTTAAATTTAATTTTTCAAATAATTTTTAACAGAAAGAAACTGATTAAACAAATTGTTCACAAAAGTGAATTTTGACCTCTCGAAGCAATGGTGCTTACAGTGACTGATGGGGGGGGGGAGAACTAGTTTACATTTATAACATAATTTACGAACCTGCATCGTTCCAATAAAAATGGCACACATGTTGGGGGACATTTTGCTGCCACTGTCTTTGAAAATTTTCTCAGCATAAAAGAGCACGGCATTGACTCCGCTAAGCTGCTGGAAGAGCATCAATGCCAAGGAAATGACTAGGGCTTTGGAGGCCGCTTTGCTCCTAATTAGATCAGATAGACCGGCTTTGTTTCTCGCAGCTTCCGTAATACTCTCATGTATGCGAAAAAGTTCATCTTCAACGTCGTAACTTTTGCCTCTAAACCACTGCAGGGATTTCCTCGCGTCGTCAATCTTTCCCTTAGCAGTCAGATAAACCGGTGATTCGGGCATAAACGAAAAGGTAATCAGATGAAGTGCCGGAAGAATTGCTGATATCAGGGCCAAATATGTAAAGCTTTTTTCTACACTACCTGTAATAAAATTATAGATATTGTTATCATTCTTATAATTGATAAAAACAAACGCAGAAAATTACTTTGTGTTTTTTATATAAATAATCAGTTAACGGTTGCTACCTAGTTGATATAATATACCATAAATCTATACGAACATCATAAAGAGATAAAGTTTATTTGTTTCATTATCCAAGATAATCTGTAGAACCGAAGGAGAGTTTCGAAAATTTTTCTACTATCAAAACCTGGGAAGGTAGCGCAGTGATAAGAAATACAAAAAAAACAATGAACATTCACAAAAATGGGTATCTGTTTAAACGCGTGAATGGAACCGTTTAAGCTACACGATTTAGTTTAATTTTATTAAATATAGAACCAGTTTCTAGCTGTAATTGGGTCGACATGTTTTTATTTGATCATATGTTATGAGTTTAAGTCACCTTTTTGTTGTAAAAGGTCATCAGTTGGAATAGTACGATTTCTAAATTGGCACTATCGGGGACAGAAGTGATACACCCTTCCCCATAAGATTGAATTTCTAGGTATACATACATCAATGGTTTAAAAATGTATTTATCATGCCATTTTTCACTGATTTGTGTAGACTCCCCGCATATCTGTTATTAATTTATATTTCAAAAATTTTTACTTCATTTGTAATTGATAAATATCTCAGTTGCAAGAAAATATTGCTTGAATTATTTCATTTGCTTAAATGAGATCCATTCTCGTGCACCCCGATTTACCTGTCATACACCCCAAATTTTTATTTTTGCTGACATGGATCACTTGTACACCCATAGGGGTTAATATAAACCACCTGGGGAATATCAGATATATGTAAAGTTAGCAGTCGGTAACTAATCTATTAAGAACGATTTTATAAACATATTAATTTTTAGCAACTTGAAACCTGATGTTGAAGTAAATATAATACGCCATTTTCCCGCAACACCTAGATACAAGTATACAACAATTATTGTAATATAGATTATGATAAATAAGGATAACAATTATTGTTTAACCCATATCCTAGCGTTTGGTGGTGTATTTGGAATATGTATAGTTATTGATTAACATTTTAATTTCCACCGAAAAATCTGCTGTCCTACTCCCAGAATTTAATAGAATTTCATTTCCTTGGTGTGAACATCAATATTTACACAAACATATTTCAGGAAGCAAAAGATTGTACTAGACCACTACGATAACCGGAAATTGTGATGATGTTATTATCATTTTCGCTTCATTATCAAAGTTGTAGGTTTATTTGTGTTGTTTGTTTGGTGTATATTTTCGGTTTGAAATTGGTACTTCGTTTGATATTTTCAATGAAAACTTTATTTACAATAAAACGGAAAATATAATTATGAATGTACTGACATGAAAAATAATTATAGAAATATGTTTAAATTTAGCACACGTCGACAATTAACTTTATTCCTTAGTAACTACGTAGTTATAAAATAAATGGAGAAACAAGACGCGCAAATGATTTATTGAAAATAATATGTTTGTGTTATCAAAAGTTACTATTTATTAATAATAATATCTGGTAAATTTAATTAGCAATCACACTTTTATTTTAGCTACTATCTGGTTGACCTAATTTTTTATATGTTAATCTATTTTGCTATTCGTTTGAGGTTTATTCTTTAGAATTAATTTAAATTGATTATGAAACAAGGTCGATCATCGGTTTGCTCCAATAAACAACAACTTTATTAAAGAAAAATTGTGTAAAAGATAAACGATGTTTGAGTAAGGAAATGATTAGAAGCGTGCTACCGGATAATGCGAACTGAAAGTGCGTGAATATTTTACTTTGTTCTGTTTATAATCTTTGTAATAATTGGAAACGATTTTTCGTTCTAGTTAGGCCTGTTCAAAATTAACTCTAACTCACATCTATATATATATATATATAAATGAATGTTTGTCTGTATGTCCTTTATGGAATCGTAAACTATGCATTTGATTATAGCAAAGTTGTTGTGCATGAGCCAAAGAAGGTTTCTGAGTTGGTACGACCAATTTTCGACAGGAAAAACAAAAAATATTGTGCATCCCACAGCACTTCAATAAATATCGGATTGAAACGAAACGCTGCAATGTTACAATATTTTCGAAATGAACAAAATCAGTAAATCAATGAATGGAATATTTATGTAATGTTTTTCCTTCAAATTTATTTTAGTTGGTGGCGTAGTAACTCGCGCAGGGTACAGCTAGTTTATCGTATTCAATAAAAGTTAACGACTATAACAATTACTAATGGTTATCAATAGCTTACCTAATATATATTCTACAAGCAATCCAATTGTAACTTGTAGCTGAAAGAATCCTCCAAGAGATCCTCGTATTCTTGGTTCAGCCAAATCGGTTATATACATCGGCGCAGCTACACATATCAAGCCAACCACTAATCCAGCCACTAAACGAGCAATATAGAGAAGTATAACGTTTGGACTGCAATAAAAAATTATTGGCAATCAATACAACATGTAATATAATGCAATAAATCCAGTTATTTTTATTTTTAGAGATTAACATTGGCTTCATATTAAATTGAGACGTACCGAATTAAAAATTTTAGTAATTTTGTTTTTTATTTATTGAGAAAAGGTAAAATAATAAAAATCATCTAAGTTGAAGTTGAATTATATAATTAATTAGAAGCACTAAATGAAATCTACAAACTTAAATTATTTTGAATCAATCTAGTGCAACTAGGTGCTTTTTTCTTGGCTTCAGGAAAAAACTATGTTAGTTTTAATTATTCACCAAAGAAAAAGGGTGACACCTTCTTCAATTAACTGTATTCTTTTTTACAAGTTATCGCTCTATTAACAAATATAAATTTGTTATAATTATTCATACCTGTATGCAATGGTAATCCAAGTTACAATAAAAGGAATTGTTGTTAGTTGAAGAGTACGTTTGGGCCCCAAATAGATAGCTATTTCTCCTGCGGGAATAGCGCCCATGAATGCACCTAGTGTAAGTAAAGATGCAATCCATGAGCCCTGCTCATTCGTAACAGGGAGAGGGGATGCTGGATCCTGCAGGAGCGGTAACGCTGGCGATGTCCATGACAGGGTAGTTCCCATTGCAAGTGCCCCTAAAGTAGCTATAATGTAGAAAATAAAAACAAATTAAAAATTTGTGAATAGGCGGTATTGATCTTATATTTTATCAAAAGTTTAGATTCTCTTGCTTTCTAGGTTTTGGAAAAGCAATGTCAAGTTAAATTATTTCTATTCTCTGTTCATTTTGAGCATACCTTCCTTTATGGAAAATGAACTGCGATGAGTTTATTCTTACAGCATTTTCACTGTTAAGAAAGAGGCAGTTATTTTCCATTTCCAATCAATTCATTTGTAATCTTTGCGATTCAAAGTAAATCTGATGCTTTATTGAATCAATTATGTTTACAAAGGCTTTCAGTCAATACGATAGAAATATCAAACTTAAGGTCGAACCGTCGGATTTGTGAAAAAGTCACGTAAATCAAATAAAATTACTCAGCGGAAAACAATACGCATTGCGTTAAAACGTTTGATGAAAACGTTTGACCGTTTCAAAAGCCATTTTAGATAAGGGTAGAAAGCAATAAGAAGATTTTTCTATAAGCGAATTTCTTATTATTTGAAAATTGCTATCAAAAATTTGTTTTGAAATTCCTTACTCTATAATTAGGTGGATACTTATTTTGTATACAATTTGGGTTTTATTATTCGCTGTGGCTAAAAATATTCGGATTTGGATGGAATTTATCTAAATAAAAGAATAAATCGGATGAGTTTGTGTAATTGATTAGAGTAATGACGGACTTTAACGGTGGTGACATGAAGACCGCGGACTTTTTTCTTATAGCAGACAATTTTCGGCCACTTCCTTTATTATTAATTATTATTATTATCACTGGTTGGACGATTGTTTAGTTTTTCTTTTATCAACGTTGAAAAAGTATTAGAGTTCAACTTAGAATGTCAAAAGATATAAAACTATCTCTGTTCGGTTTCAATGCTTGTGATATCGAAAATTTGAGGCCTTGTCGACTTAACCTTCGTATTAAGTGTTTATAAAAGAAAAATATTTTCGGGAAGTTGAGTGTGTGCTTTTTATCATTCAACAAATCCAGGATGAGGGCAACGAGAACAGCTATTATGTTCGTGGTCGATTATTATATAAGGTCGTATTACATTTTATAGACGAAACTTTTTCTTGAGATCTTTTACTTTTAATAAACACTAAAAGGATACTTATTTATCTTTTATATCGGATCAATTTTGTTTTTCGGAAATTTTTAAGATATGTAACATTTTTTTGTCACAGTAGGAGTAAGTCTCATATCGCGACATTGGTTAGTTGTTTGTATAAAATATTGTCTACTTAAATGACAATTTAACAATGTAATTTGTTAATCTTATCAGAAATCCTACATACCTACCAAGTTTTTTACTATCATACACACCTACAAGTTTTATTTCATTCACGCCTTATTAAAGAATGTTACGAGTAAAATGCAATCTGCGTTACGATCATTTAAAACCTACCAACAAAAATTGAATTTTTACGTACAAGCGGTTTTAGATTTAAACTATAAAAAACCTTTCAGAGAATTATTACACTTTTTGTAGTCAGTTAAGTAATTGCTCCCACGTTTCTATTGATTAAATCAAAAGATGTTTAGTCAGGTTGCAGTTTTACCGTAACAAATTCATTAATGTGAACAGTTTTTCAAAGATTTCATTTAAAAGTTGTTTACTTAACCAACAGGAAATCTCAATTTAATTCTTACCCAAAACGGCGGCCAAATACTGTCTGAAAGCACTGTCGGGAATTTCATTGGAATTCGTTTTCTTCTTTTGTTCCATTTTAGAAGCGGTTAGTTTAAATAATATTCACTCACTCTTTAAAAACAATCAATAAGTAAAATGAGCGTATTGAACGAAATAGCTCGCGTTATTGAATAACTCCCAACAACTTCTGCAGATTCGACGCTTGTAAACCTTTTATATACACCATTTTTATCGGCAAATTTTTAGAGGTTAAAAGTTTACTGATCGCGAGTATAGTTACAGCAGCGCAGCACTGACTTGGACGAGCCTCCAATGATAACGCGTCTTTTATCACGTCAATGAAGTCAAATTTTTATACCTTATTTGATACCGCCACGAGTCTGCGACATCTTTATAATTATAATATTACTTTTCATGCTTAATTCTTTACAAAAACATTTCCTATAGAATTATTAACAGAATCGTGTCCTTTATATATAGTAATATTTAATAAATAATTATGGATCACTTTTTACCAAAGTTCCAATTACAATCACAATTGTTGCAAATAAAAACAACTTAGAAATTACAACGTATAATTAAAATTGAATAAATACTTATATCTAGTTCAATAATACGGCCAAAGGACACAAATATTCGTAGATAATTAAATTACTCATTTTTTAATCAAATAATTTTTGTTAGACAATTTTACGTCTAAAACTAATTAAATTAGTTTTCTTTTATCTTATCTTCACTTAAAGTAATCATCAATTTATTTACCTTGAAGAGATTTTCCGTCGTAGCGTCGTTGTGGAAGTTCTTTGCGAGTTAGATTAGAATTGGTCACACATCTCATTGTTTTTAGTTCGATTAAAAAAATCGAATATTAGAAAAGAAACTAACGCAACCTAACAAATTTCCTGAAGTAACTTTTGTATAGAATACTCATTCTGTGGTTTTACTAATATTCCATTCTTTCAAAAAAAAAAAAAATAAAATAAAAACAAAAATCACTCCAAAAAATTTTTTGGTACAATAGATTTAATTAACATTGGAGTAAGTTACATTAGGCAGTTTTGTTTTTTTTTTTAATTAAATCACATTCGACTAAAATTTATGGATCTTGTCGCACGTGTTGATTGTTTACATGTATCTAATATGCCAAGACTTGTGCTTTGGTTATAACGAAATGATTCAGTAAAATGTAGGTAAAATGATTATATAGTATTTATTTTGTTTTGTCTTGAGTTAATTAATTAATACATCAGCATCAGGTTTACAGTACCTTTTTCTGACTAGGTTACTTTCAAACTGTTCATGGGTAGGTACTGTATAACCGAAACTGCTGTAACATTAATTAATAGAAAAAAAAAGAGTGGAGATATACCAAACATACCATTTTTATTGTATCAACATGAATCTTCGTCAAGTGTCGACTGAGTCAATTTAACATTATTATTTATTTCAGGAATGAATGCAACCGTTTAATAAAAATTTTATAATCTTTTACTCCTCACTTTATCCATGATTACATTAAGTAGATTAAAATAGTAAAATAATTATATCTGATTATTTACACTAGCGTAAAAATATAATAATAACTATCTATTTTATTTAAGTATAGTAAGATTTAGACCGTGTGTAGAGAAGGTTAGAAATGAAGAGGTATTAGAAAGAATACGAGAGCAAGGGACTCTATGGAAGTCAGTAAGAAAAAGGCGAGATAGGTTGGTAGGACACCTTCTCTGGTATGGAGGGGTCTAGTCAAAGACATATTACAGACCGAAACAGGTGTTAAGAGAAGTAGATGTAGACCTAGGTTAGATTACTGTTCCCGAATAGTTAAGGAGCTAATCTTCGCATTTCCCTAAAACTAGAACATTCCACTAGTTTTAGGGAAATGCGAAGATTAGCTCAGTATAGGAAAGAGTGGAGGTGCGTATCCAACCAGTCTTATGACTTATGATGAAGATTTAGACACTGCAATAAAATTCTTACGTTTTGCCTAATTCTAATTTCAGAGCAATTGATCTATGGAGACATACAAAGTTATACCTATTTATAAAACAATTTCTTACTTATGCAAAAATTTTATTACTTTTTTATCATAAACCGATTGCATTAATGAACGTGTCATCCATTTAAGTAGTGATTATCACTTAAACCTCAAAAGTTATGTTGGTGGACCATATTGCAATAACCTTCCATTAATTTACTAAACCTCTGGAGTAGTATGTAAACACATATTTTTCGGTTCAATGATTTTGATTAAAAACATTCCATTGGTGATAAAAAAGTTCCAAAAAATGGCTGTTGGTAGCGATGTACGATAATATGTACTTACCAATTTTAATTGGAAAAGAGAAAAGAAATGCCATATAGGTACATGTATTAATTCATTAATTCTTCTCTGTTACCATATTTACCTATATTTTAATAATTTTGGCATTATTTATTGGACAAGTTATGTTTAAAATAAGATGATAAGAAGTTTATCTAAATAAAACACATCGTTTATCTCGCGTTTCAGTGAACCTTACTTTGTAAAATAGATACATTAAATTAAATAAATTTTGACCATTCGGTTATCATCCTACAATTAGAAGAATGATTCTACCTTTTTTTTTTCACGCAACATAAACTAAAATTTTTACTTACATTACAATGAATTTTCAATTTCTACAAACAATCACATCCTGTATCGTTATTTCTCTTGTGCAAGATACTCCCCTAGAAGTTATTTAAGAGTTAAATTTATACTGCTCCTTCATTCTAATAAATGAGGTTTAATTTTTTGTTTTAATTAAGTAATGTTTTTATACTGTTTCTCCCAACTGGCTGAAACTTCAATAGATGATCCTTTGTTGTCGTCATTAAGACTTCATTTTTCCTATACACCGTAACAAAATTACTTAAAGCTCTGACGTAAAGGCAATTAACGTAATAATATAACAAAATTCATGACAGTTCAAGTAACCTTTTCTCAGTTACCTCCGTTATCTAGTTTACGTTGTTGTTTTGCTAATGGTTTTTAAATCCGATAATCAACTAAATAATTGACGTAGTAGGTATAACAGAATTACGAGGAGTTCCTTATTACATGCATATGTATATAATATAACCGTACCTATTTCTTTTTACTAATTACTTACACAGATCTAGAAATTAGCAGTTTTTGTCCCTCTCGACTTTAGGATTAGGTTTAAGACCTAATAACAAATCAGTTTCTTCCTATCACATTAGGAAAATTAATAGGTCTAAAGCATTAAAATGAAAACTTATTAATATTTTCAATCAAACATACAGAAGTTCGAGAAGAAACTTTTAAGAAAAAAAGGGCATGTCGATGTAGTAATTGTAGCTTTGAAGATTAATAAGAAAAGGGAAAAAATGGATAATAAGACACCTTTTGATGCTCAAGCAAGGTGCTTGAAGAAACTATAATCGCACTTAAAGATACCAGATGTGACCATATTTTAGTAATACGAGGGTGGATTGATAAGTTTCCGGCCTGACCAAGAAAAACAAGGTTTTTAAAAATTTTTTTTTTTTATTTCTCAACATAATCTCCTCCAAGGCTGATACATTTCTCATAGCGGTGTTCCAGTCTATTAATGCCATCTCTATAGACTGATTCGTCAAGCTCCTCAAAATAACCATTTACAGCTTCGATTACTTCTTCATTGTCCGCAAATCTCTTACCGCCAAGCCATTTTTTGAGATTAGGGAACAGAAAATAGTCACTCGGGGCTAGGTCTGGAGAGTAAGGAGGGTGCGGCATCAATTCAAACTTTAGATCGTTGATTTTAGCCGTCGCAACGATTGACGTGTGCGCTGGTGCGTTATCGTGATGAAACAAGATTTTTTTCTTCGCCAGATGAGGTCGTTTAATTTTCACCTCGTGGCTCAAACGTTGCAATAAGTCTGCGTAGTATTGACCAGTGATAGTATTACCCTTTGCAAGGTAATCAATGTATATAATACCTCTTGCATCCCAAAAAACAGTAGCCATAACCTTGTTCGCCGAAAAAATTGTTTTTGCCTTCTTTGGAGTTGGTTCCCCTGGTCCAATCCACTGTTTAGACTGTTCTTTGGTTTCAGGAGTGTAGTGGTGGACCCACGTTTCGTCAACGGTTACGAATCGACGCAAAAATTCGCTTGGATTACGCTTATACAATGACAAATTTGCGGTAGAAATGTTTTTTCGAATCAATTTTTGGTCGACTGTTAGCAAACGCGGCACCCATCTTGCACAGAGCTTTTCCATATGCAAATGTTGGTGCAAAATATGTTGCACACGTTCATATGACATCTTACAGGTCTCAGCTATCTCACGCACTTTCAATCTGCGGTCTCCCAGCACTATTTGATGAATTTTTTCGATCATATCTGGAGTTGTGACCTCAACGGGGCGTCCTGAGCGAGGCCCATCAGAGGTGCTCACACGACCCTTTTTAAACTCGGAAACCCACTGCTTAACGGTTGAATATGACGGGGAGGATGTCCCCAGTGTTGAGTCCATCTCTTTTTTAATTTCCTTCGGCGTTAACCCCTTCAAATAAAAGTATTTGATGACAGCACGATTTTCCTGCTTTTCCATTTTTACGAAAACCACAGAGGCGTCTTGTTCAGCGTGCTGTCAAACCTACACTAGCAAGGAGATCGGGCTGAAACTATAGCTACAAGCTATCCAAGGATGGTACTATAGAATGTCACCTCAAGGTAGGCCTAGTGGCGTCATCTCTTGGTTAGGCCGGAAACTTATCAATCCACCCTCGTAATGCAGAAGGTAATAAATTGTTTATTCATCAACGACACTTATATGCCGGCGTAACAAATGAAGTTCGAAAGTTTTCCAGAAAAATTAATGTTTAATCTATAAAATTCGATAGCAATATAGGAGTCTGGTTTTAATTCGATTATTGCAATAGACTTTTTTCGAAAGATAACAGCAAAATTATTCAAGTAAATAAATTTCCCTGGTTCAAAAGTATCTTCCGAGAATTCGCATGGTTCAGCGCCGGGTTAAATTATAATTTTCATTTACATCATGCATATTTCTATCGTACCTACGAAACATTGAACAGTTCTCCAAGAATACAAAATGGTCTAAAAACCACGTCGCAACTTGTCAAAATAATTTATGTAAAATTCCATTGCGATTAGTTTATAGGTAGGTTTTATATTAATTAATTTTATATTAATTTGTTTCATTTAAACAGTTTTACGATTAG